TGCTCCTAGTAGCGATGCCAGGAGCCCCTAGTAGCGTCCCTGCTCCTGGTAGCGATGCCAGGAGCCTTTAGTAGCTTCTTGTTACTAGTAGTAAGGCCAGGAGGGCATAACTTCATTTTTCAAATGCCAGTCAATCTCCGTTCTCCAACTGTGCGCGCAAAAGCAAGGCCCGACTGGCCAAGTGGTGCAGCATGGAAATAGACCCTTTCACTTTCGCAGTCCATTCAACTGAAGTGCGTGAGGCGAAGGCATGTTTCAGTTTCGTTTCTTGCGTATCCACCAGAAGACACATGCACTGCACGCTATGGAACTTTTTTGTGAAGACATGGAAGATTCACTCAGAACCAATCGTGGAGCAATCCTGGCCGCTGGCTTGAAATGGAAGCCCAGTGCATCCTACCTCGAAGGTCGCCCAAGCTGAACCATCACTGTCACGCTCTTTCACGTCGGCATCAATAGCTGCGCTCGACAGTTCAAATGCGGATTGTACCGAAGGGGGATCCATCTCCTCATCAGCCCGACCCCACCTTGCACAGCAATCCTTTCCAGCGTGGCTGAGCTGAGAACAGTTGGTAGGAGGCCTTACTAAGGGTGCCCAAGTCAACCTTCGTTTCTATTTGTTGTTTCGTTGAAGTTCTGCTTTCAGTTGGGAGTTTGTTCAAGTCCAAATTCGTGGCGCGGACGTGTCTCAAGACAAGGGGTAGCTAAGTCCAAAACAGCAACACTAGTGTTAAAATGGTTTAAAAGATGAAACATCGGAAAGAAGAAGGCTGTTTAAAAAGTAGAACTATTTCCAAAAAGTGCTCTGTGGATGTGTATGGCAAGTCGCCCACCTGGTGCAGCCAGTTAAACTCCGCCATGCAGGCGCCAGATGCCTTGTCCGTGTCCAACTGCCGGCGCGGTGAGCCTGGGCGCCCAGTGAGAGGTAGTCCAGCTTCTCAACCACAAAATGACGGTTTAAAGAAATAGAAAAGTAGAAAGAAGCAGGCAATATTGTGTAACCGTCTATTTCTTGTTGCTGGCATCCCTTTGTGTCTCTCTTTTTGCTCTCTCATTGTGGGTTTTTTGCAGTTGTTCTCTTGAACTCGATGCCCACAGGTTGCCACCGAGTGGCTGGAGCAACAAATGGTCCCCCGTCAGGACCACAGAGAAACCCATACGGGATTTCCGGAGTCTTTCTAACGACTTGCCAAATTATAGCGGGAGCGCAGCCATCACCAAAGGATAGGGGGATGACAATCCTGTGAGAGCGCTTGGTTAAAGGCTTGTTGTTGGTGCCAAACATGAGGCCATCAATGTCTCGTTTCGTGTCTCTGAGGCCACCAAGCGTGCTTCATTGCTGGGGGCGTTGGAGGTGCGCGCGGCGTGCCAGTCACTATTGGCCGTGAGCCTTCGCTTCTTCTTGAACAGAGCTCTTGCCCGTATGAGGGAGTAGCGAGGTCAGTGGATAGCTCGGGGGTAGTAAAGCAAGGCCTCCAGCTTCACAAAGCATTCGCTGCACGAGACCTTGGGGCTGTTGAGTACATTACAGCCCCCAAACCAATTCCTTTTACCGCGGTCTTTTGGTAGAACTAGGTAATACGGCCGCCCCAAACACAACCTGTGTTCACGCGCTTTTCTCGGCCGCGCTGCGAAGGGTTCTTCTGTTGAATCGACGTGCCATTTGCCATTTGCAGCCTACAAACATTGCCACTTCTATGCATGTTTGTGAGATACTTACATCATCTTACATCTACACACGTCATGTAGAAGTACACATATCGTACACATGCATATTTTTGTTTTGCGAGATGAACGTGTGTTCAACCGCCACAGCACTGCCACATGTAGGTTTTTGTGCGGTGCAGAGCTTGGAATCCGAAGAACGGTATACCTGGATTCAAAAGGGCAGAGAAGATCCTTGCGAAACGTGAGCCTTTGCGGGGATCACGTGGTGAGCTCTCACACAACTCAACTCGCATAACTCGCACCGCCCAACTCGACTCACGCAACTGGACTCGCGCAACTCAACTCACACCAGTCAACTCACACGACTGCACTCACGCAAGGATACCGCTGCTTTCTGCTACTTTGCAGGGGGGCTACGGTGATGCGGGCGCTGTTCGTCAACAGCCTGGATGCAGACACCATCGACGCATCCATACGCACAGAAACTTCATCACAATATTAGGCATAGTCAATCTTACTCTTTCTGAGTAGCAACATATCCATTTGTTTCAAATGCATACTGCTTGTACTCCTGGGCCACTCCTCGTCTATCCACAACCCGTTTAACGTTACATACAACGTTCTCCGTTACGAAAACCGTCGCTCCGCTCCCGTAGTTCTCCTTTTTCGCCTTCCAACAGGAGTTTTTCTCATGAAACTGTTTGGGGTCTATGCTGGTGCATGGTTCAAACAGATTCTTAGATTAACTTAGTGCTTCGATTGAGTCAAAACATCTTGAGAGAGTGATACATCTTACAGTTCTTTCCTGCAGAAGGATAGCTCCAGTCTGTCAGGAGTCACAGATGCATGTGGTCTATGCTCTAAGGCGCCTTGCGGTTGCGAATTAACACCAAGATCTCAACCGAAATCCACGTCGTTGAGACTGTACTTCGCTATATTAGAGAAAGAGTTAGACAGAAAGACCAAGGCTCAAGTAGTTGCGAGTAGTGGTTTTTGCAGATGTTTGAGGGCCAGAGGGTGTTTCAATTCGGGTTGTCAGTGTCAAGTGTCACATGTTTGTTTGTGCACTGGTGCTGTGGGATCCAGAACTATCCTAGTGCCGGAAAATATGGCCACACCTGGCCAGAGTGGGCCTCTCCTCCAGGTTCTTCAGTTTTGTGTTTCGCACGGTGAGAAGGGTTTGGTTTCACCGAGGCCTCACTCCGATGTTTGGCAAGAGTCTGTGAGAGCTGTGCAGCTGGAGCAGGTGGACATCACGGTGAGTTTGTTTGTGGGTTTGTGGTTTCTTGTTGCTTTTCTTTGCAGGGGGTTTTGATGAATAATCCGTTTACAAAGAAGTGTCATATGTGAGCATTGCTGTTTGTTCCAAGCTTGATTGAGGCCGTTTTCACAAGACTCTCTCTTTCTCTCTCTCTCTCTCTCATCGTGTTTGGCATGTTGGCGTCAGCATCTAAAAGTTGCATAAATCGTAGTTATTGTCGTTGAGAATGAGCAGCATTTGCTTTTGCCAATGAATTCTTCAAAGTTCCACGACTGCTGACATGTTCCCTAGCATCTCCAAGAAGCCGACCACCACGTGTGGAGCAGGCGGAGTTGGATCGTCTGCTGAGGGAGAAGGTGGCGACCAAGCCAAGACCCACACAGAAGCAGAGGCACTGAAGTGAAGTGAAACTGACGGAGTTGTTATACCTTAAGTGCCTTGCTCACTCCTTCACTCCCTCCGCCCTCACATCACGCGGGCCTGCACAGCTCAGTCTGGGCGCACGCGCACCATTGAGAGCGCCAGGGCAGTCTGGGCGCGCACGGACCTGCGCACCATATAGAGCACGGGCTCGGTCTGGCGCGAGAAGGTATGCCAGAAAGGATGTCAGAAGATATGCCAAATGTCAGATAGAATGCCATAAAGGATGTCAGAAGATGTGCAGAATTTCGGTCTGACTGCCTTATAAAATGCAACATCATAATGTGTCAGAACATGTATTCGAACAAGTGGTAGGTCTGATGGCAGAACGAATGTCGGAATACATGGCAGAACGCGTATTAACCGAAGCTGGACTAAAAAGCGCAACACATGTCAGAGCACGTGCCAGCTTGGTGCGAGGGCACATGTCAGAAGTACATCCCAGAAGATATGCCAGAACACGTGTCAGGCTTCACAGCAAAAATGTCAGAACACGCCAACAAGGATGCCAGAGTGCATTCCAACACATTTCCCCGACTTCCTAGCCTTTCTGATAGATGACGCGTCAGAACACCTACCAGACTTGATGCTAGAAAAGTGCGTCAGGCTGTGTTTGTCAGGATGGTCAAAACACAAACCGCCTCTCAGGGTGGCTGTCACTTAGTGGTAAAGTTTTTTTTGGTGGCAGAGTTTTCTGGCGTTTCTGGGCGAAGCCTGGGGCTCAATCTGGTACAGCTGTGGTCGGTCGGGTTAAGCAGGACTGTTTGTTTGCAGTTATTGCAAAGGCGGTGGATGTTTGGCACGGGCCCCGTATTAACCATGTGTCTCCCTGTGTGGAAAATCCATAAGCGCGATGCCAGCCAAAGAACTTGGCTTCTTCGGTTTGGTATTGAATACAGTGTATTGATGGTTTTGCCATGTTTGTCTTCCATGTCGGTGGATGCCTTACATTTGCCCGCAATTCATTGTCAGATCAGCGCCTCCCAGCAAAGCATGAAAAATGCTATAGTTGAACATCAGAGAAAGACCTCGAGTGTTCGGGTTCTCCAAACTTCAAGGAACGCAGGCAAACTAGGTTTCCCCTCTCGAAGATAATTGAATACACTGCTCCTTACAGCACCACCTGCCTTGTCGGCTTCGAAAAGCGACTCGTTGTTTCGAGGGTGAAGGAAGCAATCCAATGGCTCTTAGAAGCAGGTGCCAGCCTGGAGGTGAGAAAACGACAAAAAACACAGAGAGGGGGCATGAAAGAGAGCGTGAGACTGCCAGAATGCAAGGTTTGCAATTGAGCATTGTTGTTGTCCATCTTCCAAAAACCTTCAATGTCTTCACACTCATTCCATTAAAGGACCGGATAACCCCACACGTCAAGCCCTATAGCAGACAGCTAGAAGAAATGATAGCGAAGGAGGCGAGGAGAGACGGACTCGATGGCGTGATGCATGATGATGTGTGTTTGTGGTGTTTTTGTTTTTGAAGTAACTAGATGGTGATGACGATTCTATACAATCATGAATGAAAGTATAATATTAGGTTTGCAACGGTTTCTTTAAATCTCTTCATTTGGATGTCCGACCAAGCTGTAAAGCTGTTGCAAAGCCCAAGAATTGCACATCAAAATTCCGAGCTCGGTGTGTTTGCGTTGGGTGACTTGAGTTAGTGTGAGTGGCTTACTAACAAAAAGCTAACGAACGGGGCTCCTGGCCTTACTACTAGCAAGGACGCTACTAGGGGCTCCTGGCATCGCTACGAACGGAGCATTCTTACTGCTATAGTAACAAGAAACGGTGTTGGTGTGAGTTGCGCTGATGTCGGGCAACAACAGCAGCCCTTGACAAGGCAGCAGAAAGCAGAACAGGAGACACGGCGACACGCTAACCAACGCCGACCCGCAACAACAGCAGACCCTCTACGGAGTAAGTTGGCGTGTCCGGTAGGAGGAGGCAGCGGCCCGGTAAAAAGTAAGAACCCTGCACTAGCATGGAAGGAAAGATGCAAAACAGAACCACCAAACTTGCTTTTTTACCCAAAGTTGCTTCGGCACAGCCTGTCACTGGACATGCTTGACGGCTGTTTGCAGGCGCTTTGCGCGGACGCCAGTCCAGAGGTGCGCAAAAGCGCTGCGTCCCTGCTGGCGGAAGGGGAGGCAGGAGAGGAGAAGGACCTTGCTTTGAAACCGTTCTTGCTTGTTGGAGAGGTTCACTTTCCCTTCCTCTCCGCATTTGGTTCCAGCTATTGTCACGCGTCAAAAGTTTGCCATTAGCGACCAAATTATCCTAACTTGTAGGCTACATTTGCATACCCGCCGCTAATTGATAGTTAGTTTAAGGAATTTATAAGTCTATATCTAACCGGCTATAACAACTTACAACTGCAACACAGCAATGTGTTTTGGATGGACTTGTGGTTGTGTGAGTCAGTAGTTACTTCAACCTTTTGGGTGCTAATTTAGTGACTGAGCTAGTTTGGATTTTAATCATGGCCACATATCTGACAGCATCCTGCAGTCCTGCAGCCACACCCTCGAGCAGCACGAGCGCCCAGCTCCACAGCGCACACGTGTGTAGACATCTAGCAGTGGCAGGCGCCCTGCAGCAGCACTCTGCACCGTGACGCAGGCGGCGCCAGCGCTCAAGCTCTTCAGCGCCACACTTATTTAGACATCTGGCAGCGGTTCCCTGCAGTGTCATGCTGCATTCTGCAGCGACACTCTGCAGCAGCGCTAGCATCCACCCCCAAGCTGCGCAATGGTGATGCATATTGTTCTTGAAGTGAGAACCCCATTATGCCAGCATAGACCCAGATAGCTGGGCAGCACTGCCATGAACATCTATGGCACGCTGCCCCATCGCCCTGCAGCCGCACCAGCACGCAGCCTCCGGCACCCTCCAGCGCACAGCTCCCAAGTTCCAAAGAGCACGCCTTGCAGCGGCACCATGGCACCATCGCTCCCAAACTCAAAAGCACACATGGCAATTGGCGTTTGTCAGCGCCCAAGCTCCACAGAGCACGCAAGCACTGCTTCCTTTACTTGAAGTAAGAACCCCAATAGCACTTGCTATCTGGTGAACAATGTGGCCCAACGCAAAGGAATGTAAAACTCTGGCTTTCTTGGAGTTGTACATGTTGATGTCATCACAAGAGTAGGTCGTTCATATATTCAATCCAAGCCCCAGCTGCACAAAAAAACTTGCTTGCTGTCTAACTTATTTCGTCTTATTTAACTTAATTTACACGCAACTAGGCAAGCAGAAGAAAAAAAGGCTTCTTGGTCTTGGCTCGAAGCTCCTCGCTACAGGGTGCTGCTGGCCGATGCGCTGCCCTTTTGCAAAGCGACGATGCAACATCCCGCAGCACTGCCGCTGAAGCGCTTGGGAGGCGTTGCCGATACAAATCGGTCGTCTAAAAAGGCATGGACAGAAACATGGACAAGAAGTCTTACAAGTGACTAGTGAGCGCGCGTACCACTGGGACTTAGACATTGCAATTCCTGACCTGTTCTTTTCTTGTTTTTCTGTTAGGCTTTTAGCCCTTCTTTTCCTCTTGGCATGAAAGTTTGGCGGTTGAAGAAACTTTGTTAGCTGCTCGTTTGAACATGAGCTTGTTTCCGTTGCAGTTTGAAGTCTGGTGGACTCCATTCAGTGGGTTTGGCCATCTCCAAGCTCACTCTTAGTTGTTATACCGTGAGTTTTTGTGTATCAGCCCTCACAGTGCTTGTGAAATTTGTGGCACATTCCATGGATCGCGAGATCGGCGTGTGGCGAGCTCAGACTCACGTGGTCCTCGAGCTTTATACCACAGCTGGATGGGCTGGGGATGCGTCGTTCCAGTGGAGATTGGAGGAGATCGAGGAGATCAAAGCATCAAGGCCACGACTATTGCATCTGCTCCAGCCCGCAACGCACAGCGTGACAAGAACCGCAGCGCTGACCCTGAGATTTGCCCGAAACCCTCGGATGTTTGTACTCTGACTCCAGCAGTCCTAGACCAACTTCTGTGATGGCTGGCTTGGCACCGCTGACGCGCATGTGGCATAACACTTGCAAGGTACGTCGATGCGCGTCCATGCTTTTGGCCACGGCACCAGGTTGGAAATTGAAACCTGCGCGGGTTTACATCAGCACCTTGCACACGTGGTGAAGACCACAATCAGGCAGCACAGGCATGACCGCTACGCGCATGCTGCTGATGTTGCACAGATCATTGACGTGTGCAATTTTGATGGTGATGTTTTTTTGATGGGGCTACACAGCCTCGGATTCCAGAAGAGGTTGCACCCTTACGTTTCACGCTTGTGTTATCAGTTTTTTTGACCTTCGTACTTGCACGTTCCATTGATCAACTAGAACATGAGACGTCTTGTACCAACTCTTCATGCTCGAACAGCCTCACCAGGGGCCCCCTGAGTCTATCCACCTTTGAAGCCGGCACCCATGGCCTAAGGAAAGGCCAGCGCTTTTGCATGGCCTTGCGCTTCCACTTTCTTTGCACCTGCCACTCTGTTAGAAGTTCCCCACGTTACAAGAAACAGTAGATGCTGCTTCCCACCAATGTATACACGCGTTTGCAGCAAATGACCCCGGACCAATCACTTTTGACGGGGTTACCCATCTTCGTGCGGTTGCCGTTGCTTGGTGCTCTTTGAATTGCCTCATTTTTTTGAAGAAAAGAGCAAAAAAACAAGGTCTTAAGTAATTGAACCTTCTTGAAGAGCCTGTTGCAAAGACGCGAGAGTGTTTTGAAGGCAGGTTTTGGTTTCTGACTTCACTACGTTGACAGAAATGAATCAACAAGAAAACAAGGACAACAAAACGAATTACTCCTTACAAGACACCTCTTTGATTGCAAGCAGGCATCAAGGAAGAAATGGAAAACAAAAAGTGATAAATCATAGCACAACTTTCAAGGACCTGCATGCTACTGAGCATTGTCCAATAGGCCGAACTAAAACAACATGCTTGTAAGAAATCTTTTCGTTCTCCTTCTTTCCTTCCTATTTCTTCACTCGTTTGAAGACCTTTTGTTTTTGTTTTGTGCCTACCAGGCTGGGCAAGGACGCAGGTGCTTATGGCGCTCAGCTCGCCCAGCTGCTGGGCGATGCCGACACTACGGCGGGACGGGGAGGGAGGATCAGGCGGAATGCGGGACGGGTACGTTCCTGGAATGCGAGGGCGCTCAAGTCCAGACCGTTACCCTCACGCGTTCTTGGAATAAATGAACGGGAAGAAAAGAAAGGACAAGAAAGGAAGGAAGGAAGCGAGCAAGCAAGGGAGGAAGAATAGAAAACATGTGTTTGTTCTTAAACAAGGCTGTTGCCCGTGAGGCCTAGGACTCACATGTGATATTTCATATGATACATGTGGGTGTTGGACAGGCTAGGGTAAACATTGATCGACTCCGGGCGGTTCTTGTCATGTGGAACCCTTTCTTGTGGCAAGGTGCGCATGACGGTGACTGCTACATTGGGAAAGCTAGGCTGGATTTCGGCGCTTGGGACCTCAAGGTTGCAGCAATAGCATCAGTTGCTTTCAAGAGGCTAGACTTGCATTAAATATGAATGTGGGATGTGGGGATTTGCTTGAAGGGATCGTGTTGCATCGACAGGTTGGGTTACCTGGGCTTGACATGTTGGAGTGTTTGTTGGTATTACGAAGATCTGATGACGAAGCCGAGACTTGCTAGCCATTCCTGTCACAGCAGGAGGTCGCCCTCCGCCCAAAGTTGATTTTTAGCCAGAAGCGCAGCGCCAGGTGGAACTCCAAATCTGTTTCCACTCTGTGAATGCTTCATGCCGACTGGACACGTGTTTCTTTTGCAGTTTGCGGGGTCCCTTCAACGCTTTGGCTGCTGCCGTCAGTGCCACCCGGCCCCAGTGCGCAGGGGGCTCCATGGCCAAGCATTGCGTGGAGAAATTGGAATCCGAAAAGCCCCGAGAGCGGGAGGCACGTCTTCACCCAAAGCCACTAAGAGAATGGGGGATGTGGTGATTAGCAATCAAACGGGACAGTCAAAATTTGAAAGAAGGGTAAAGCAAACTGTGTTAAAGATTGTAAAAGGAAAAACACAATGATAAAATATGACACATTCAATAAGTAAATTCCTGTCTCAAAGCAAACCTTCGGATAGACGGATCATACAACTGGCCAGGTCTGCCAAGGGAGACACGTTATTTTTTGTTTCAGACCTCAAAAAGATGTGACGCCCCATTTGGGAATTGGAGAACCGTCAGGAATTTTCATTTACTTGGGCACCAGGGGGAGGCAGCTCAGGTTAAATGGTTTCGAGGAAAGAAAGAAGGACAGGAGGGAAGGGAAGGGAAGGGAAGGGAAGGGAAGGGTAGCGAAGGGAAGGGAAGGGAAGGGAAGGAATCAAGGAATGAAGTAAGAAATCTGTAGACGCAGGAAAGATGAAAGAAATGACAGGTGAAGCGGTCTTTTCTGTTAAATTGTGTCGATTTCAGGATCTCGTTCCGCTTAGCTGCGCAGGCTGCCTGTGAAGCCTTGGGACTCATGGGCACTGCAGTCTGGGGCTCATATGTCAGTTCCGGTGACGCAGCATTAAGCCCGTCCTAGGCTGCTTGCGTGGCCTTATAGTGTCATTTCTAGGAGTCGTCTTGGGGTAGAAAGCAATGTGTTAATTTCTTTGAAGCGCTCGTCCATGTGAAATGGATCTACCCTTGCAGTTTCAACCTGTCTTCTGAGATCTTCTGAGTCACGCGAAAAGCTGAGAACTTGCACAGTTCAAGTCTCTAGCAACCATGTATGTGCTGAGCAATGCTTGGGGCGATCTTTTTAGACGTTTGCGAACACGTTAGTTTTGAAATGCAGTCCTTAAAAGCACCGACCCAGCAGCACCTTGCTTTTCATCGCAGAATCGCACAAGGCTTCTGAACATGCTGCCGCTGTGGTCTGGGTTCCAGAGGAGACGGAATTTCTTGAGCCTCAAGACAAAGCAAAAACGAGCTGGCTGAAAAGCTCTGGTGCAAGATGCTTTAGCAAGTAAAACCAAACATCGCAACATGAAAAGAGTAGTTTCACAAAGATCTTTGGGACTAATGCCTAATAGCGAAGGCCTCCAACCTAATCGCGATGGCCTCCACCCTAGTAGCGACGGCCTCCAACCTAGTAGCAATGGCCTCCAAACTAATAGCAATGGCCTCCAACCGAATAGCAATGACCTCCAACCAAATAGCGATGGCCTCCAACCCAACAGCGACGGCCTCCAACCTAGTAGCGATGGGCTCCACCCTAATAGCGATGGCCTCCACCCTAGTAGCGACGGCCTCAAAACTAATAGCGATGGCCTTCAACCAAATAGCGATGGCCTCCAACCTAATGAAGATGCCCTCCAACCTAATAGCGATGGCCCCCACCCTAGTAGTGATGGCCTCCAACCTACTAGCCATGGCCTCCAACCTACTAGCAATGGCCTCCACCCTACTAGTCTTAGTGTTTTTTTCACGAAGATCTTTGGCCCAAATCCCAAGGTACAATTCCCCAGGTGACTACGAGATGTCCTTATCCTGACCGTCTCCTTAGGCGGAGTTGCTGCAAGATAGCGATTGGCAGGCTGAGGGGCTGAGCTCGATTGTTTCTTCGTGCGTTCGAAGTCTTCAGATCTGCCAGATGTCGATGTTTCGGTCTCTTCCTCACTCCACAGGTCCTCTCCGCGATTAGGTTGGAGGCCATCGCTATTAGGTCCTTTCCTCGCTTTCATCCAGTTCTCCTTTCACATTCTTGCCCGACCCGATTCACGCGCATGAAGACTATCTTCATGAGAAAAGAGAATGAGATCAAACATTCTGCCTTTGCTTTCAACAACAACATGAAAAAAATTGCAGTTGAGTGACATTAAGTTTAGGACACAAGGACACAGATAATGTCAGACTCAACACAGGTGCCCACAGCTGCCGCCAGCGCGCTGAAGCGCATGGGTCCCTGCGCTGCAAGACATTGCCTGGGATGCCGAGCCTGCCGCGGATCAAAACGACTGTATAGAAATTGAAGCAATTTGCAGCCCTTGTTCAATGCAATACTCCCTCCATGTTCCTTTGAAAGGAGGAGAAAGCAGGAGAAAGCATGTTCTTTCAACGGTGGGTCCAAATTTGTGATGGCGAGCAGCGTAGCAAAGGCAAGACGGCCCCACTGTTCGAGAAGATTTCGCATAGTTACTAAAATGTTGCATAGATTTCGAATAATTTGTTTTACTATGTAGAAATTGGGGTTTGATAGGATTGATCAGTCCAAGCCTTGCACGTGATTTTTGTAAAAAGTCTGCAAAAAAACAGTTTAAGGATCACGTAATAAGATAGATTCAACATGCCATTGTCCACCACAAACACTCTCGCCACGCATTCTGCTTATTGTGTCCAAATCCCCGTACTGTTTTGTATACCGTCTTGGCATTTGTGAGGCGCAGAGGTCCTTGGACGCTGTCGAGTTCTCTCAAGGTCGGCTATATAAGCGACGAAAGCAAGCAAAATCACAACAATCTGATCTTATCCTGGATGTTTCATGATGCCGGGTCACCGAAAAAATCAGAAAAAGCACCACTGTTCACGCAAAAGCCTGGTCCTCTCGCTTGCTCGCTCGCTGCCCTCAGGCCAGCAGTTTCCGAGGCTGGACAGCAGTCTCCGGGAATGATGGGCTTTTCTTCATCGGCGAGCTTTCGTTCAGAAAGTAGCCGTCGATTGCGGCAGAACGTGTGCACTTCTTTGGTACTCGATCGAACATTGGCACGAAAAATGTGCATTCTCGTCTTCAAAGCGTTTTAACATCTTACGGTAGAAATGCCCTTTGTTACTACAAGTAGTTGCGATGCCCTTGCTACTTCTAGCTTCTTGTTCCTAGTATATGGGAGCCCCTAGTAGCGTCCTTGCTCCTAGTAGCGGTGCCTATAGAGGTGCGTTGGGAGGTGCTTTTGGGAGCGGCAGGCCATCGTGCGAATCGGCGGAGTTGAGGCTGCGGAAAGTGCCCCGGCGAGAATCGGCGCTTCCCATCAGGAACTCCCCATGAACGGAAACTCAAATGGAAGGAACAGTCACGAAGAACGGCGACGCCCTGCAAGCCTCAGTTTTTTTTGCGGCTGTCTATGTTTGCTAAAACATGCCAAAACCATTATGTCAAAAATATATTTAAAGAAGAAAAGGGGTTGGAAAAGTGTGACATGTAACTCCCAGGGCCAGCCCAGTAATATTGATCATTCAAGGTAGCATTCTCGTGTAGTCAGTGGTTATAAAGGGTCTTAGAAGAGCACCCTTAAAGGGTGGTCCAGGGGGTGGTGATTGGGGCCAGTCAAGACCAGGCGATGCACACGGCTGACCTGTTTTGGTACACTCGGATACTGGAAGGGTATCACAGATGGTACAGAGCTCTTCAGGTGAAATGTAGTAAGAGGTTGCGCAATCCTGCAGGTCATACTCTGAAAGTCTTTGTTGAGGCAAGATTTCGAAAGATGGATTTGAATAGAGAAGCTTTTTGCCAGTGCGAACTGTTCGAGCCCCATTCCAAGACTCAGGGCTTGTTGAGGATCGAATCATCATCGAACTCGAGGTTTTCGCCCAAAGAATGTCCCACAATCGTGTTTAGTGGACTCTCACTTCAGTTTACACGCTTGCGCGAGCCGGTTGAGGTTTGGTACCATTGCTGTCCAGCCACTAGCTCAATGTTGCGTTGCCTTGAAAAGCGAACACCAGACAGGGAAAGATCATGAAAGTCGGAAACGAATCCAGTAACAAGAAGCGAACGTAGAAACAAGTGCCTTACTAGTAGTAACAGATGCCTTACTAGTAGTAACAATGTTTGCTAGTAGAAACAATATATAAATAGAATTCAATTAGAATCTCAAAAAATTACTAGCAATGAAGGAAAGCATTAAAGAAAAGACATCCAAACGATTTGTTTCCTATAAAGATATATTATTGAAAGCTTGGTCCAAAAAGTGTCAAAAAGATCATGTACGGTTTCACGGTGAGGTGGTTCGAAGACCTAGGGGCTTGACCGTGTGTTGAGACGTGGCCGTGCCTGAGGACAGCAAACAAACGATGGAAACACCTGGGGGAGCGGCATGCGACAGGTCAATCGTGATAACACCAGCAAAGCCTGACGAAGTGAATCCGTTCTGGAGTGGTGAAAGATGGTGAAAGAGAACGACATATATATATATATAACAAACACAAGAAACAAAATCTCAGGTCGAGGCGACTCTGAGGCGATGCGGCCCACCACCCGCCGAAAACACTGTTATAAGGTAATCCGAATTCCGGAACGCAAAAAGCCCAACGCAAAAAGCCCATGACTTGAACTCCGGGCCGGGAGCTTGTGGAGGCGCAAGGGAAGGTGATGTAGATGGTGGTGAGACAGAATGGCATGTTGGCAGAAGATGTGCGGGGGCTTTAGAGGGCCTGGCTCAGCCGCAGTGGACCTGTTGGGCTTTTGGCCCGTGTGATGGCGTCTTTGTGCTCGGCAACCCCGAAAGTGGCGGTGGGCCTTTGGCAGCGATGGATCGACCAAGGCCTGGGGAAATAATGACGCCAGCTGGCGGTGAGCCAATGGAATCGCAGTTGGACCGCAACTGACAGTGAAAGTGAGTTTCACAGAAGTGAGATTGCAGAGGACGCGTGGTGACGGACATCCAGGAGATTCTGTCAGTGCTGATGTACGGATGTCACGCACATCCTTTGTGCATGCTTGATGGTTTTGCAGCGGTGGCTCGACCTGTGGTGGAGACAGAGGTCCATCAAATGGCCCACGAAGGTATTTCACCGTCTGGACATTGCAGCCTTGGCTTGACCGAGTGACGGAATTCGTCGGAGGCTCGAACCTTCATGGAGAAAGATGGCGGCCAGGTTGCACGATAGCCTGAGAACGGTGGAGCTTTGAAAGGAAGTGAAGATGTTCTGTGGGGCGGAGATTAGGCTATCAGTGGGCCATATAAGTGTGATCTGAGTACTTCCAGCGCGCCCTGCAAGACCAAGCATTTCCAATTGCGGGTGATTGCAACAACTGGGGCGGTTCAAGATGGAGAGAAGGATGTGACAAAGGCATCAGCTGGTGGGTTGTGCCGGCCTGTTTGGCTTTGACAAGCTTGACGACGGCGTTTGGCGCAACTGGCGTGCACAGGCAGGGGGTCTAGGAGCAGCCACACAAGCTAGAGATGTTGGCCCGTTGGCCCTTCTCGTTCCCAGGCGTATAGGCTGGCCAACGATCTTGGGCTTGGCAACCTCTTGCGCAAAAGAGCGGCGCAAATTACAGAAATGCAGCTGCCTATAGTTGTTATACGCTTTCTGTTTTGGCTTTGCCTGGTATACTTTTCGCAGACATGCTGCTCGATGGTGCAAAAAGGGATCTTACAGAGAAGATCTGGTGCTGCGTAAGTGCTGAGCCTGTCTTGCCCCTTCACTTGCGACTGTAGCTCAAGAAACCCTCGCGGAGGGGTAGGTTCGTTCCACGTCACCAGTAGTGGACTTGACCAGTGACTGGACCTTCTTGTTTGGGGTTTGGCAGACGGCTCGGCAAACTTTAAAAGAAGCTGTAGAGGGGAGATTGCAGTAAAAGGCCAGGTGTCTTTAACAAGGGCTGACCTTTGGTTTTAAAGACATTTTGGAACTCAGCACTTCAGCGAACCGCCAGAAGCCAGAAGCGAGCGTTTCGCCGTTCTTGTGGATGGTCGTAGGCAGGCGTGTTCACCTCACTTCACCCAGTGCTCCCGTGAGTACTTCTTTGTCTCTTCGCCTTTATAATTGCAATATTCAAGAGCAAAATACAACTGTCCTTTTTGTTGTGTTCTTTCTTTGTGTTGGGGTGCTCTTTCTTTGGAACTCTTTCAGACCAACAGTGTGCACGAGCGTCGCCCCCCAAGGCCGCAATGAGGGTGTGCGGCAGCACGCCTGCGAGTGCATGGGGCAGTTGGGCGCCGAGGCCAGGCCGAGGACGAGACTCATCGCTGTGAGAAGCCAAGCTCAAGACCCAAATTGGAAAAGAAAGGGAAAAAGATCTGTAACAGAAAAGGGATATGATAAGAAGGAAAGATGAAAGTTTATAAGTCAAGAAACAGGCCCGGGTGTCTCAATCGGGCTGGCAGGCTTTGTTGCCTTAGTTACCTGCGGTCGAACAAGTTGCATCATTCTAGCTACTTAGACCCTGGTCTTCTTCGACTGTATTTGGCATAGGGTTGGCTATACCAGGGTCAGTCGACTGTACAAGGGCTTTGAGCGATCGTAAAAAGAGGATTGGTTGACTATACCAGGACCTGCGTGCATGGTCGACTATACCAGGGCCCTTGGTTGACTATATATACTAATGGCGCCAATCGAAGTACTCACGCATGACCTTTCTAGCCTTGACCGGCGCTGAATTGAGATGTTCTGTGACAACCCGATCTTTGGAAAATTGCCGAGTCTACAGTGCATGTGCAGGGTCATCCCACCGAGAACTGAACAAAATAACGAAAAAGAACGAAACGAGGACAACGCGTGGACAGAATGTGGAACGCCTATAGGAATCCGTGGAAAGTCTTTTTCGAAACCGTGGAAAGGACATATACCAGGACATGGGCAGCCCCCCCTCTAAAATCTTCTTGAACTGGATTCAATTTGCAAATAAATGAAATATCTCACACAGCCGCTTTGCTAATCGTGTAGAAGCGGGTTCGCAAGTTCAACTTGAAATAGGATGCGGGTGGAACAAGTGAAGCTACCTTGAGGGGCCGGTGGTGGTGTGGCTCGTGCTTTTTTGTATATATATAATATATATATATATATACAAATGCCAGCTGGGCCCAACAATATTGTTGCACAGGCGGTGATCAAAGTATGAGCGCCTATATCATGTCCCACGCAAGACTATACCATCCCCTGTTCTAACGCCTATACCCTGCCAACCCCTCGACTATACTATGCTGGAACACGGTATAGGCCAGCGAGACCAGTATAGGCTAGCAGCCCTCGACTATACGAAATCCCAAACCCTTTAGAGTAAACCTAAGAGCGCTTGCACTTTCACGTGTTTCAGGCCAAAGCCTTTGTGCAGTTCCTGGTGCCTCTGAAAGAGGACCTGACGGGCGGGACGCGACGGATGCCCAAAACCCAAGTCGATGTGAAGACTTGGCCTGCTGACGGACGGCTGACAGACTTTTCAAAGCAGAACCGAAAGTGTAAGACAGAAAACCTTTCCCCTATTTAGTGTGCAGCGTTGGGTTCTCGTTAAAGTTTGTAAGCTGTGTTCGCGAAATCTAGGCCCTCCCGTTGGGTGAATTTTTGATTGATGGATGGAAGCATGAAGTGTCAGATTCGTGTGAAATATTCTGGAAACGTAAAAGAGGTTGAAGTGTGGAGGATGATTGTTGCTGCGTGTGTCCATCGTGTCCCAGAATTTTGCCTCACTGTGACCCATTGGAAACACAGGCACAGTACTGTGTGGGTGTTGGGCATTTTGGAGATTTGTTTGCGTGGCCCACGTGGCAGATTCGTGAGGTTGCGACGTTTGGTGGTGGTGAACGTCGCTGCGTGCCATTGGGAATGACGATTCCGCGGCTGACCCTTGAAGGGGCTTGGATTGCGTGAAACTACTTGTCAGGATTCCTGACTCCTGCTTCACTTCTGAGACTTGGCGCGTCAGAAGGAGGAAGTCTTGTATGAAAAGCTCTTTTCGCAGGCATCTCCGAAATCCCACAGAGCGACGAAATCACATGAGCGGTTTAAAGTGCAGCCTCGGGGAAAGCGCGCTCGTGAGAATGGGGGAAATGCGCGAATGTAGACAGGATATGTTGCTGGTGAGTGCGCTGCTTGAGCGGGCTTGTTGCATCCTTTGTGGCCCAGATGCTGATTAGTGTTGCAGGTGATCAGCGAAAAGGTAGGCGCCATCTATGTCGCAAGATCGGCAAGCTTTTGTTGACGGGGAGCGCAGTGGCAGCGCCCCAAAAGCACCCTGTCTTTATTTAGAGTAGTATTGAAAGGGCCATAGCAAAGACTGGGTTGCCTTGGGAACGATGTCCCTTGTGAAGCTTTTTCCATCACTCCCATCCCTTCACGAGTCCGTAGTGCTCAAGCCTGATGCAGACAATTTGCGCTATAGAAGCGCTGGATTTCGTGAAGCGTGGCACGAACAGGGATTTTGAGTGAAGATTTCGTTGGAGACCCCGGCGAAAAGAGAGGTCTTGAGCGTTAGCGTGCCCCAACCCACGCTACCCCGCCCCACCCTCGATGGCGATGAGGTCATGCGCAGGTCTGCAAGTGGTTTTCAACGTTATATAGCGCAACCGCACCCCACCTCGTGCACATGTTGGCGATGAGGCTCGCGCGCAGGTTTGCAAGTGGTTTTGAAGCTGACTCACTTGTAGTTCAATCTTTTTCGAACCATCTTGGACCTGCAAGCAAGTGTCCGGGTTCTTCACAAAAAAACAGCCATCCAAATTTAGACCCCGGAATCAATGTTGGAAGTGCTCTTCAAGAGGGCTTGGGACCAACGTGGCTGTTTTTGAAGGCCTTAAAGCACAAACCATCACCTCAACATTGATCTGGGGGTGAAGGGAGCGCAAAGTTCCTTTTGTTGCTGGCGTGTAGGATGGCTGTTCTTTTTGAAGAACCCGGTAGCTCTCAATCTCTCTGATATCACTGCCCAGCTTTGTAATTTGGAATTCTGCATTGTCTGTTCTGTAGCTGGTATATTCCCATGCTTCCATAGCGCTCTTCAATATGCTTGTAGGGCCTCCAAAGTGCAAAGATCACTGCTGCAAAACCAGTGATATTGATCATGATGACCGCAGCAGGCAACTCTCCAGGTCCTGCCACAGAAGGAACCAACTCTGCCAAGGCCATTGGCAAACTAGATAAAAGTGTGCTCAAATGGAGTTTTCAAGAAGACCTTTGCATCAAATCAACAGAAGGCTGGCAACCCACAAACAATGCCATGCTGCCGTCTGGTGGTGGAAAAGCAGGGCGGAGCAGATTGCCGGGAGCCTTGGGAGTCAGGCAATTACTATTTAAGGGCTCCCGAAAGCGACGTGCCAGGCAACGTTAGGCATTTTGGCTGGCTGCGGCTCGCCTCTTTTTGGTGTGGAAATAGATGGTCTCGTTTGCCCGCCCGGAAACCCTGCGCAGAGGTTAGGCACTCCTGGGAACCCTAGTTGCGGAAAAGTGAAACTCGCAACGGTGTCAACTTGTCCTTGGGAAAATGAAACTTGAAACTTGGCCCTCTTTGTGCTTGTTGACCTACAAGCCTGCCGGTGCTTCCAAATCACTCTTGGGCAAACTTTGCATGGAAGCATGTTTTACAATTTGTAAAATTTCAAGGCTAAGAGCTGACTTACTTTCAGCTTCTTCTTTTTCGAACCATCTTGGACCTGCAAGCAAGTGTCCGGGTTCTTCAAGAAGAACAGGCATCCTACATGCCAGCAACAAAAAGGAACTTTGCACTTTGCACCCCCTTCACCACCAGATCAATGTTGAGGTGATGGTTTGCGCTGTAAGGCCTTCAAAGAAACAGCCATGTTGGTTCCAAACCCTCTTGACGAGCACTTCCAACATTGATTCCGGGGGTGAGGGGGTTGTCTTGTCTATGTTGGTCTTAGTTTGGGTGGCTGTTTTTGTGAAGAACCCGGTATGAAGAGAGAATTGATCTATTACGCAACTATGCCACTGTGAATTGATTCTCAATGAAGGTCTTATTGAGCATGAAGTACCAAACATTCAAGCAATCATCTCTGATGTGCTGGGAGAGTTGAATGCAGGAAACTTCTTAGCCAGGAGGAGCTTGGAAGATACGCAAGCAACAGAGGGACAATATTGGGGACACAGAGTGATGTTGAAGGCAGCTACAGATGGAGCAACACCATCAGAAGGACCATTGAACAGAATGTTCAAGATAGGAAAGCAAGAGATATCAATCAGAGAACAATACATCACAGAACAGGCAAGCCAAATGTGGGGCCGACTTAGGCCGAATTGAAGCAAAACTGTGCAATGAAAGATATATGAACCTTATGAGCACAAGACTGCAAGAGGCAGCAGATTTGGTAGAGAAGGAAATGGAGAAGTATCAAGAATTGTTGGAACGTGCAGTCATGAGGAGAGATTATCCGGACAGACCAAAAACAGAGAGACCATCAATTTCTGGCCCAGTTCCTTGGAGAAGTTCCTCAGAGAAATTCAAAAGCCTGTAGGGACAAGAGAAGTCAATTGGAAGAAAATGGATTACGTTGGCAAAGTGAGCTCAAAGAAGCGTCTTAGATTTTCACAGTGCCAAGAAGGAGTGCGAACCATTTACCAAGTAGATCATTGCCTAGATGTACAGTGTCCTTGACATTGCTAGCTGCGCGTGAGACTTGCTGCAGCCCCTTCAAGAATCAGGAAAAGGTGTGTACTGTACAAAGGGACATCTATCTTGAACTGGGTGTCTTCTAAATAGCAAGTGGGT